AAGTCACCATCTCTTATTAAGCATCAGTACCACTAGAAGCCTTTATATGACAATCATAACTAACTTAAAGAGTCCTAAACAACACTGAACATCCTCTGGTAGACATGATCTGAGCCAAAATAACGCCCAGAACTCATCTTGGATCTTACTCCCCCACATAAGAATGCAGTGATGAGCCTAACACAGAAAAACACTAACCCTTAGCTTCTTTTTTTTTTCTCTCTCTCTAACCCTTAGCTTTTTCACAAAATTAAGAACCACTATTCTAGGCCTTCCTGGCTCTGCATATATTTTAATCTCACCTACTCCAACCTTCAACAGAGGTGTTCTTGGTCTCTAAAATGGTTCCACTGAACCTTAGGTTTCTAGATCAGTGGTTCTGGAGTGGCATCTATGGATCTGCAGCATTAGTATCACCTAGAAATTTATTTGAAATGGAATTTCTTGACCCCTACTGTGATCTACTGAATTAGAAACTCTACATATGGGATCCAGTAATCTGTGTTTATCAAGCCCTCCAAGTTACTCTGAAGCATGATAAAATTTGACAACATTCTAAATCCTTGTGTGTTTCATGGGCCTGTGGTCTATTCCTCAGATACTAACTTAAGTCTGGCAACCAACCCAGGAATGAGAACATAAGGCAAAATGCCAAAGCGAACAGCATCCCAGTCCTACAACTCATTACACTGCCTGAACAATCAAAAACAATATGCAAAAGGAAACTGCAACTGCAGTTCTTAGAGACAAAATGGCTTGTTATCTGAGATTTACTTTAAAATACTCTCCCAGCACACAAAAAAAGGAGGGTGGGGAATGGATGAAATAATATGGCAAAATGTTAATTATTGATGAAGCTGAGTGAAGGGCATGTGAGAGTTTCTTATATCTGTGTATAATTGGAAAATTTTTTAATAAGAAGTTAAGAAAAAATCAGAAGCTATTTTTGCTCCTTTACAGGGGCCCTTCTTAGAAGTCAACTCTGAATGTGAACAGCAAGATTACCTGAGACTCCACAACAGCCTCCTTGTTGTTCTACAAACATATCAAGCATAGTCCTACTACAGGTCTTTGTCCTTGCTGTTCCCCCTTCCTGGAGTGCTTTTCACCCAGATATCCACATGATTTGCTCCTTTATTCTTTCAGATCTCTGCTCGAAGGTCACCTTGATCATTCTACATAAAATAGCGCAGTTCCAACACACACGAAAAAGCTTATCTCCCTTCCCTGCCTTTTTAACCCCAACAGGACTTCTCCTAGCCTGACATACAAAACGTGTTCATTTGCTTATTGTATTTATCTTCCACAAGAAATGTAAATTTTATGGTGGCAGAGGTTCTGACCATTTTCAATGTCTATGTTGTCAGTTCCTTAACACATATTTACTGAACAAGTGAATGAATGAACCATCTGCTGAATACCCGAGCCATAAGGGAGATACATAAAAGAATCTAAATGTGTCTACACATAGACAAAATCTTACAAAAATGACTTTAAAAAGCAAGACTCCATTCACCTTCAAGTGCAGCTGAGAACCAGAATATGAAGATCTGGGGGTTAGGTTGTGAGACTTGAAAATAAACAGTCAGGTGTTGATCTGAACGATCACAGAGGAGTAAAGCAGGAGGCACTAATGTCCAGCCTGGGCTGTCTTGGGCCAGGTGGTAGAATGATGGCAGCATAGAGCAGAAGTACCAACTTTCTCAAGGTCCTTTGTCACTGTAGCAGTCAAGAAAAACTTAGCTTCTCTCCAAGGGCTGTTGCTGCTTGGTTTCTGCTGTTATCACAAGAAGAAAAAAGGTAGTTCAGAGGGACTTTTTCTTGTCCAGGGAACAGACAATTCAGAAACTACCATCTTTTTCAAACCAGGCTGTTTCAGTGAAAGGGACTTCCACCTTCTATTCTCAATGCCCATCCTCTGGAGAGATGGAAAATGGGTTTAAAAGGTGAAGAGTGGGAAAAGAGGAGTGGTAAGTCACGGAATTCACAGAATCACAGGCACTATGACGAGGAAAGAGCAGCCTATTTCAAAGTTTTCATGTTATACTTAGAATACTCAGGTGCAGCAAGGTCAGGCAACTTGCTAAGGTCAGGAGTACAGTGGAACCGGGACTTAAGCACATTTGACAGGTCTTAATTTCATCTGATCATGTGATGTGGTTCTATTTAATCATGAGAGTTGTTAATGAATCAAGCAAGAACGACCCATCTAATGTATCTACATGAAGTAAAGGAGGGAACCTTACAAAAGAAGCTGGGCTAGATATACACGGCGAAGAGTGCCTGGAGAAGGGTGCTCTTCAGCGCGGTGACGGCTGACAAGCAGCTTTAAGATGTGCACGGGAACAAACCAAACGCAAATAAGCCTCCAGTTTGGGTCACAAAGGGCGTTCCCGAGGTCCTCGCGCTTCTCAGCGGGCCAATTTTACATCTAGTTAAAGAAGCTTCTGATCGCAGCGTTTAAACGCTGAGTTTGAGTCGCCGCTGTGCGGTCCTGGGACAGGAGGTCACTCCGCTCTCGCGGGGGCTCCTTTCTAAGGCTCGTCCGCTGAACGGCGAGTGCGGGGCAGGGCGCGCCGAGGGGTGCCGCTCGCGGGCTGGCTCCGTCTCGGGTGCCGGCTGGAAGGAGAGGCGGGGTTGGCCCGGAAAACGCCGGCTGCCGCCGCGCTTCCAGGGCAGGCCCCGAGGCCTCCCTTGGGGGAGCAGAGCTCCCCTCCGGCTTCCTCCAGAGACCCGAAGACACCCAACACCTGCCTCCCGGGGCACAAGCGCTGTGCCCGATCTGTGCCGCCAGCCGCCCGGCCGTGAGCGAGGCCTGTCAAGCCGAGGCGGGCCCCTCACTTCACCCACCGCGGCCGAGGCTGGGCGGGCCCCTCACCCTGCCCGCGGCCCGACCGCCCCGCCCCGCCCCCGCGGCGACCGCCCCCGGCCTCGCGAGTACTCACGGCGACCCCGGGCCGCGCGCGGCCGCCGCCGAGGGGACGAGCGGCCCGGGACGCCCCGCGGGGGCGGAGCGGCAGGCCAAGGGGCGGAGGCCAGGCCGGGCGGGCGAGGTCGCGCTCCCCCACGCCTCGTCGTTCCGTCACGGGGGCGCTGAGCCCCTCTGCGCACGCTCGCGCGGCGACGCCTTGGCCACGTGGGCCGCTCCCGACCAACTGCCGCGCGGCCTGCCTCTGGGCGCGCCGCCGCCCCCCCGTCCCCCCAGGCTGGCTTTGGGACGCCTGCGTGGTGGTCGCCGGTTGGGCGGGGTGCAGAGCGCGGGTCTGGCGGGCCCGTCGAGAAACAAGAGGGGTTCTGGGGTGCGCCGAGGGCCCTCTGAAAGAGACTGTTGGCGTTTGGCGCCCCGTGTGGCTGGGAGGAATGAGCAGGGAAGGCAAGCCTTGCTGCCTGTCCCCGTGAGACCCAAATGACTCCAATAATCCTTGGTTTACAATGGGAATCAAGCACCTCCGGGTCTTGTCATTCTTAAATTTAGCTCAGTTGCTCCCCTGGTAGTTGCGGTCAGCTGGAAAGCACTCTGCCCTTCTATTTAGATAATCTGGTTTCAAAGCTTGGTTTCAACACTCACTCACTGTTCAGCCTTAAGGCAAGACTTACACTTTTCTGAGTCTGTTCTCTCATCTGTAAAGGGGGCACAGTAATTCCTATTTAATGGGGCTGTTGTGGTGAGGATGAAATGAGATGGTAGGTGGAACTGTATGAAATTGCTGTTTTGTAGGATATAAAGAGTGGAATACCGGCAATTTCATACGGTTCAAGCTAATGCATACAAGGTAACCGGCAGAGTACCTGCGACTAGGAAGTAGTCCGTAAATGGAAGCTGTGATGGTGGTTACTATGGTTATTAACCTCAGACGTTGCAGACCTCCCTTCATCCCAATTAGAACTGGGTGTCTTAGGGCTCCCCTTTGACCCTCTTCTCCATCAACACTAATGGGGAAAGGCTCACCTTCGATCTACTCTCCTTCCTCACTCCCCCTTTTTAACTGGACACAGCACATACAAGAAAGGCTTTGGCCCTGAGTGACAGATGTCATACCCATCCATCCTGAGCCGGCCTCAGTCAGAATTTTCCCAGTGATGTTTTTTAAACTCGGATATCCTCAGCATATCCTTTCTGACTCCCTCTTCTTCTTAATACTGTCCCGCCCCCCTCCATCCTCTCCTCCCGCCACCCCACCCCCACCCCTGACCTTGCCTCTCAGCCTGGACCATAACACTTGTCTTAGCATTAGTTACACTAATTGCTTATAATAACTGGAAAAAGTGAGGGATATAAATAACAGGACTCATAGCCTTAGTCCCAGAGGGCAGAAAATTGTAGTAGTTGGGAGTAGTTGGTGATGCTCCCTAAAACAACTTACTGGCAAGGGCCCCATAACAGTTTTCGAGAGCCATGCATGCATAAGAGTGTTTGAACATAAGCACAGGGGTCTATCCCTACCACTGAAATGTCGAAATCCAGTATTTTGATAACCTGCCTGGGTTTCTCCTCCTCACCCCTCCCATCTCAAACGAGTTCTTCTATGCATAATGAATGACATGAATCTTGACTGCCTCATAGTTTGTCAGTAGCTCTCTGGCTTCACTTCTTTTCCTCTCCAGCCCAGGTCCTATGATCAGTTACTTTAACCACTTTTTTCTTAATGTGCTTGCCCTTAAAATTACACTCTTGTATCATCCCAGCCATTTACCTTCTCTACTCTCCCATCCTAAACCAGGAAAAAGGAAATCACTCAACCCTGCAGAATTGAGTTGATAAGTGGACAATTATATTTTCCACACTCATTCTCCAGATTTACAGGCCCCACAGCCATGTTTGCCTTGTGTGACCCTTGGCATCCCAGCGGCAGTTTATTGAATTGAGTGGATTCCTGATCCAAGCAGTGCTAAGCAAATGTTCTCTCCTGGGAATCTTGAATTAGGGCTGAGAGATTATGATTCTACCTGGACTGTTTTCTCGAGCAGAAGAGCTATAAACTCTGGAGCTATGGTGGACCCACCTCTAGCTAACTATGAGGAATGAGAAATGGAGAGAGACTGTGGAGAGAGAATGAAGCATGGAGAGGCAGAGACCAGAAATGGTGAGGCTGTTTTCTGTTTCCTTAAAGTTTCCCAGGCCCTTTCTGAGGCCCTCTGATCTTGGGATCTATGAATCACCTTGTTCTTTCTCTTTTTATTTTTAAATTTAATTTAATTTTAAAAAATCTTATTGAGGTACATGAAGTGCATAAATTTTAGTGTACAGCTTAATGAATTTTGACGTGAGTATACGCTTATGCAACCATGCCCTGATCAAGATGGCAAACATTCTAATTTTTTTCCCCTTCACCTATTTCACCCAACCCCTCCCCACAAATCCCCTATTGTACCCAACCTTCAAGCCCCCTGCCCTATGGCAACCACTGGTCTGTTCTCTGCGTTTATGGGTCTATTTCTGGTTTGTTTGTTAGCTTTTAGATTCTACACATAAGTGAAATCATATGGTATTTGTCTTGCTGTGACTTATTTCACTTAGCATAATATCTTCTACATCCATCCATGTTGCAAATGGCAAGATTTCATTCTTTTTTATGGCTGAGTAATATTCCATTGTGGAACTGTGGGGGGGAAAAACCACATCTTTTTTATCCATTCATTCTATCAATTGACATTTGGTTGTTTCCATATTTTGGCTATTGTAAATAATGCTGTGATACACATAGGGGTGCACATATCATTTCAGATCAGTGATTTTGTTTTCACTGGGTAAATTCCCAGAAGTGGAATTGCTGGGTCATATGGTATTTACATTTTTTGTTTTTTGAGAAACCTCCACCCTGCCTTCCATAGTGGCTGTACCAAATTACATTCCCACTAAGGGAATGTCTTTTATCCACATTCTGACCAACACTTCTTATTTCCTGTCTAGTTGATGTTAGCCATTCTGACTGGTGTGAATGATTGTTGTGACTGGTGCGATGAGTCACCTTTATCTATAATAAGTAGTTCAACTGAACTTGTACCCAATACAGAGCTACCACAAATTCAGTCTCCTCAGTTGGGCCCTCTGTGTACCCAGCAATCTTCCCACAAGTCACCTTCTGCCACCATCCCCCATTCTGCTTCACAGAGAAAATAAAGGTAATGCAGAGAAAAGTGCCTTTATTTTCAGCCCCCTCCATACATTTGAATCTCTTCTACCCTTACTTTCTAAGAGGTAGAAAGGCCTCCCTTCAAACCCAAAGGTATTCCTTTCACTGTGATCTGTATTTCATTTGTCTCTTCAGGAACTTTGATCCTTCACTTAAGCCTCTCCTTCATCGATGTTCAACTTTTTCCTCTCCTACTCTTTGATCTCAGCATAGAAACTTGATTCACTAGCCCAACCAAAAAAAAGAGTCCAATTTTAACTCCACACACTACTGACCATTGCACATGTTTTCTGACCTCAATCAGGCTTCTGGGAAGTAGTGAGTACCCCATCTGCACATCCTCACCTTCCACATATTCCTTAAATCTTGCAACATCTGACCTCTTCCCAAAATGTCTACTGAAAATACTTAAACTGAAGTCAGGACTTTCAAACTGCTAAATCCATTGGAAAAATATCAGGCTTAACTTGTTGAGCCACTTGATGTTATTTGACCTTGTTCTCATCCTGTCCCTGCATTCCTTTCCTCTCTTGGCTCCTATGGGCTACATTCTAGTTTCTTCTTACCCTCAACATAGTTCCTTCACAGCATTCTTAATAGACTCCTTTTCTGTCATTCACTATTTAAATAAACAGTTTAGTCCACATGCATTTCTCACCTCCTCTACCAGTAACCTCATCAGCGCCCACTTGAAGCAGACTTCGGTAATTTGGGGCTTCCCAGAATCTGATTCCCCTCCTATGCTACAAGTCTTAGAGGTAATCAGAGCCCACCTTCCATGAAAGACATTGAAAAGGTTGGGTCTTTGCTTTCCTAGCTCTTTGGCAGCTCAGACTAAGGCATGTGACCTGGGTCTGGCCAAATAGCCCCCACAAAGTGTAGATTCTGGAGAAAATGATTCAGAGAAATAGAACCGTACAGAATTCATCCTGGTGGCTGTTGCTATGTAGGGTCAGCTTGGGGTCTGTAGTGAGTTCTGGTGGTGATAACACCAGCTCTCCAATGATGATGACAATGGCAGTAGTCTTGGTGGGCTGGTTCCAGCATCTGATTTTAGCTTTTGCCTGGTAGACTGGCCTCCCATTGTTCCTGCTTATTTTCCAAGCTTGTGTGTCCTACGTGGCCATCCCATGATCCACCTACTGCCCTTTCAACAAATGGCTTTTCTGTTTAAATCATCTTGTGTGACACACTCACTACAAGTGACCAGGATTCCCAAATCTCTCTGTCCATCTTTCTTGTTTGAAGTTGGGATAAGTTGTGTTTTTGACAATTCCACTTGTACGTCTCACAGGCAAGTCATTTTCTTCTCAATCTGACTTTTTTTTTTTGTTAATGTTCTCAGCTTAGTAAACATCACCTATAACTTGTTCAACCTGAACACTGAGAGGGAAGCATCTTAGACTCCTCCCACCCTCATTTAAACCGAACCAATTTTATAAGTATCTTACCTTTTACCTCTTAATACATCTTAAATTGATTGGTCTCTTTGCTTTCCTACTCTTCGTCACCAGAACCATTGCACTAGCCTCCTCCAGATGCCCTATCCCAATATCTACCCCTCTGATCTATTCTCCACTTAGCTGCCTAGTGGAATCCTTCTAGGACCCAAATCTAATCATGTCATTCCGCTATTAAAGCCCTTCAATGGCTCATTATACCCTTTCTATGGATGTGGCTCCTACCTGACTCTCACCCTTTCCTTACCTGCATCCTACACTCCTGTCAGGTCAACTTACATGTTCTTACAGACCACAAAAGACATGTCTTTATGCTCCATAAGTACTTAATGGGGCTGACAGTCATACTGCCACCTCTTCCCCCTGCCTCCTTCCACCATTCAGAGATGGATACATGCCCCACAGGCCAGGCAGGGGACTCCATCACCCGACCAAAGTAATTAGTTCAGGTATGGGTTTGAACTGAGTAGAGCCCAATCACAAGCTTCCCCTAGAAAGCTCTCTTGCTTTTTGAGGTCATGATGCTAGGAGCATGTGAGACAAAAGTTGCTGGCACCAAGATCTCCCTGGAAAAAGTGTGTCTACATCAGGAAAGAAAACACGACCAAGGCACAAAGAGAAGGAGAGCCATTAGAGAGATCTGATGACATTTCTTTGAGCCCTTGAATTCAGCCCTGCCTGAAGTCAGTGATTCCATGACACTTCTCAGCTCCCTTCTGCTTAAGCTGGTTTGGGTTGGTGCCTTCCACTTGTAATTAAACAATATAAAATGGCACGGAGTGTGCAGACAACAGACTCTAGAACGTGGAATTGGAGGAACTAAGTGAAATCAGCAGGTTGCTGATGACCCTTGACCGGGAAGTCGGCAATCCCTGTTATGTGGTACCCAATTCGCTGGTTAAATCATTTCCTACTTTATCTTGAGATTTGGGTCACACATCCTCCCTAGATGGAGATTTCAGGGACACACTGGGAAAATCTCTGCATGTTGGAGTATGCTGGCCTCTTCTCAAAATTTTCAGTTGTGTCCTGTGGTTTTAATCAGGTCCATGCTGGCAGAACCAGAAACATCCATAGCTGTGTTTGGAGTTGTTGTTTCCGCCTGTAGCCAGCAAGCCTGACCGCCAGGGCCAGACAATCATGCATCCTATAGATTATAAAAACCAGATCCTTGTCTCAAGGCTAAAGTGAGAGCAAAGGCACAGAGGTGGAGTATCCAACACTAGATATGATAACCTAGGGCCTGGGAAGTTCCAGAGAAAAAGCCTGATCCTCCAAGCCACACCTGAATGCGTCTTTTTTCTCTCAAATTAAAGAACATTTATTTCACTGGGAATTCAGTCAGCCCTGGGGGTTCTGGTGCCTTGGGGACCCTGGCTGTGAATCCTGCTGGAGAGAGTGGGAGGTGCTGGTCACAGACTTCATGCACCTTCTTGGACTCCCTAGGACCCCTCCTCATTTCTTTCTCTGTCAGTACCTACTATGCCAAGGACCTCCTCCACTCCCACATCTGTGGTAGAAATGCCACATGGCAGCAGTGGGATCTGACTTCCCAAGGGGCAAATGATGCAACTCACAAGTACAGCAGAGCTCTCTGTGGAGTATGCCTCGGCCAATGGAAAACAGGAGATGACTGAGGAACGGAGGGATACATTCCCTCTCAGTTCTCCTCCTGGTGAACTGCCCAGGGTGCAGTTTTCCTCACAAATACCATGTGGTTTGCAAACAACCCTTTCAAGTGACCTACTCTCTCCTCGGGGCTCGTATGTGGCACTGGTCAACACAATGATGTGTTGTCCCGCGTTGCTTTACATCTTTCCTTGCCTATGTCTCTTCTGTCCTCTCATCATCCTGAGCTTCCATCTTCCCAAACAGTGTGAGCACTTTAATCCTTGCCTCAGAGTCTGTCTAGAGTACTTAGGCTAAGATTTAGAGCCACAGTCAAAGCCCCCTTTCCAACACTGAGTCTTGGGGTAGCAGGGAGGTTCTGAGGACACAACTGATTTCACCTGCTCAAATGCAGGACCTATAGCCCAGACTGCTGGCTTCCTGTCTGGAGCCCAGTGTCAAGGTCACTGGGTCAGGCCATTTCTGGCCTGCTCCCTAGGGGAACTGGGTTTTACTTCACAGGCCTTCTTTGAGGTTCCCTGAATTTTCTCCTGGCACCTAAGAATTCCCTTGGGAAAATTCAGACCCGGGCTTGCAGCCTGCTCTGCCTTCGGGGTCTCTGTGTTCTTAAGCAACTAGAGAGCAGTTGGCCAGAACCTGGAAGTTCAAAGGTTCCTCTACAAATGCTGAAAAGCTGTGATCTTCCCAGGTTGCTAGAGGGTGGAGGACACTGTGATCACATTGTCTGAAGCCAGAGCTAGGGAGAAAAAGAGTGGCTCTCTGCCCTTTCTGAGTTTGTGCTTGGCACAGACCTGGTCACTTCTTTGCAGACCCCACATGGTTCAGGATGGAGGAGCAGCTGCATAGTCTGCATCGGCTCTGAGTTCCCTGAGGCCAGGAGGTTTGTGTAACCTGATTGCACAGATATGCTAGCCATGAAGTGAGGCCAAGAGGCCAAAAACAGCCTCTGAGTCCCTGCTGGATTCAGCTGTGTCACGATACACGCAGGTGTCTTTGAGACGATGGATACCAACAATTATAACAAAGTTGGAACAGATCAAGAGAGATCCTGTGATAGCATCCTTAGCATGCTCTTTTGGAGAGCATCACATGCATGTTCTGATCCACTGAGGCAGAGGTGAGAGTCCAGGTCTAGTCAGAGCACAAAGTAGATCTAGAGCTGCTTCCAAGGTAAGAGGTTATTAGTTCCATCTCAGACAAAAGGTCCTTTCTTCCTATGTCCAAAACACCAAGGCTGCATCCAGAGAGACAGAAATTACAGGGGCTCTGATAAAGGCTAGAGACTTTACCACAGTCCCCCAGTTATACAAGTTCTCAGAGGGCCCCCAAATTCAGTGTCCACTGACAGACTCCTCTCAGGAGTGCTTTGGTGATGTGGCCTCACAGTGTAATGGACCATGGCCAGAGGGTGAGTGGAGTAAAAGCTGCAAGTTGGCCAGAATGAGTACTGTGCGGTTGCCTTACTCCTGTCCTACGCATCTGTTTGGGGCTGAGGCCTAGGCACCAATTCCATTCAGGGATTTGGACTCTCTGGTCAGGGCCACGGGAGCACACCAGGCAAATGTTGAACAGGTAATCTCTCTCTGCTGATACTGAGCAGAGTAAGGCTGATTTATCACCACAGACAGGCCCTTATGGAAGCCTAGAAGCTGAAGTGGAGGGGAATGGGCAAAGCGTGACATGTTGCTAAGAGACAGAAATCATAAGCGCCAGACTCAGACTCAAGGACTAGGACTCAGCAAGACACTTGATGCCGCTTACAAGCTCACAGAGAGCCCAGAAACTGAATGAGTCCGTTGGAAAGGAACTGCGTCACCAGAGAACCCTCAGGCCTGGCAAACAGGGATCTTGAGGCCCAAGAACATGTTCAAAGAGCAAAGGAAAGCTGCAATGCCAGGGAGGGCATCCTCTCAGAGATGTCCACAAAGGACAATGGATAAAGGAGATATTTCCCAGTGGAAAGGACCAAGAGCAATCAGTTTTATTGACCAAGAAACTTACTCCACTGTCCAGAATCTATATGCTATAGATTAGTGACCATTGTTTTCTCTTCTCCCCTATCCCAAATGAAAGGTGTTTTCTTTTTTTAAAAAAAAATGGTTGTCCTCTTTCCCTCCACTACTTTATATGTTATGTAGGGATAGCTAAATTTATCTTTTAGTCAGAGATTGCAAAATCATGTTATATCCAGACCTGATCAAGAATTGCACATCACTCGATAAAGCAACTGGACATGTCTGTTTTGTTACTCACTGGGAAGTAGGTGAGTGTACTTTTTGTTGGGCCTAGGATCATTGCATTGTTAGGAAGCACATTTTTGAAACTGTTTGTCAAGAAAACATAGGTGGATGCTGAGCAATAAAGGGGGAGAATATAGTAGATGCCTATTGCTTATATGGCCATCATCCCTTCCTTTGGGACCCATTTCTCTCCTCCACAGAGCCCTGGTGAAGTTGTCAATCACAGCAGTCTATTCTTCTACCCCAGAGATGGGCACAAACTCATTCTGGCCAAAGTCCTCTTAGGACTTGAGAGCTAGACGTAGTGAGGCCAACATGCAGAAGAAAGCAAAACCGAGAGATGGAAATATCATCATTTGAACCCCTAAATCCAGCCATGTCTAACAGATACATACCCTTTGATTTATCAATTATATAAGCCAATTAATTATGTAAGGCACCACCATAATTCCTATTGGCTTAAAAGTTTGGTTTTTGACACTTGCAACTGAAATGGTTCAGACTAATACATGCACATACAACAGAGACACAAACACCATGTTGTTCAAATTCATTAGATATTATACAAGTCTTCCATGATCTTATAGGGGTCAGCAAACTTTTTGTCTAAAGAACCAAATAAGTATTTTAGGCTTTGTGGGCTACAATAGGTCTCTGTCTCATATTCTTTTTTGTTTTGTTTCTATTTTTAAGGCCCTTTAGAATTGTAAAAACCATTCTGTTTGTAGGCCATAGACAAACAGGCTGCAGGCCAGATTTACCCAGAGGCCATAGTTTGCTGACCCCTAATCTAGACCCTGCCAACCCCTGCATCCTTGGTGCACAGCCAGTCCCTAACCACGGAGCAAAATACTTTGCCATTTTGGTTCAAGTGTCTTGACATGACTTGGTGATGAGTTCGGTTCAGGGTAGAGTTAGGAATGGAAAAAAGGGTCTTTTCTTGGTGCCCACTGTCTGCCACATAATAAGCACTGAGTAAAGAGTGATCATTATTTCTCGATGATAATTTATCAAAATAATGCAGCCACCCAAATGGCTTTGTCTAATCGTCCTAGTTTATCCTTGAAGATCCTTCCCTTTCTCCATCTCTTTCAGGAAACCTTTCCTTGACCTCCCTTACCACTAAAGTCCAAAGTAGGTACTCTACTGCTTGCTATCACGGACTGTGGGCCTCCAGTTACAACTAGTTACCAGTCTGGTTTCCCTGACTCTGAGTACTTAGAGCATGCCTGAGCCCCAACTCCTAGCACAGTGCTTAGCACCTAGCACTGTGAGTCTCTTGTATTCCACGTATCTGTTTGAATATGCAGGTGTTACCTAGCTCCATCTGAGTCCAGAGTGGCCAGTCTATGATGCCCTCGACACTGGTTCCTCTCTCAGCTGGAAATGTGTTGTTGGTATATACCACACCTTACTTGGTAATATTATTACCATAATTATTTTTCATCCCATCCCCTCCAAAAATGAGTCAAAGACAGAGGAACAGGTGGGAACAAGTTTTCTTAGAAACCGTTATGAAGGAGGAACCTCCAACCTCACCCCCACATCATTTACTGTCTGATGTGATTTCAGATCAAAGGCTTCCAGCCTCAGCAATGCTGGGGACCAGAGTGCCCACCACATAGTTAGGGCCTCAGACCAGTTCGATCCGTGTCTATGGGGTAGAGGGGAAATCTCCTCCTGGGAAAAATATGTGCAAGGCTGGGAAAAATATGTGCAAGGCCCTGCAGGCCCAGGAAAGGCTGACCAAGGCAAGGTGGAGTCATGGTGTTTGTTCTAAGCTGAATCTTTTGCCCATCTCAGAGAAGCAGGCAGGAGGCACCACCACCGATCAGCTTTATATGGCACCCACTGTATACAACAGACAGACAAAGACAGACAGACAGAGCACACACCACTTCTAAGCTGAACACTGCTCACCATCTAGAAGCACCTTGGATAAGCACGTGAGACATTCTTGCATAGGAAAGATATACTTTTTAAAGGTGTGAAGAAGTATTTTGGCAAAACATCTACTTCCCTCCCACATCCTGGGTAAAGAGGGACCTCTAAATTCTGAAGCTTCTACACATTGAAAATTATCCCCTTCTCAATGGCAGTATATATACAGTAACAGACCTTCCAAGTCGGTTGTCACAGCCCTCGACATAAATCCTGCACTACGTTACAGACGGGCAAACTTAGGCGGCCCAGAGCCAGGGGACACAGTGGCCGGCTCAAGGTGAGGGCAAACAGAAGGTGTCTCGGCCTCTGTCTATCTGGATGGGGACGGGAAAGGCTGGCGTGGCCCAAACTCTCTTTCTTCCTGCCGGGAAGCCGCGGTCCCATGGGGAAGGCAGTCAGGAAGGAGAGGCAGGTTCCCGTGCCCGCGGGCTAGGGGGCCTCTCAGGGCGGGAGGGGCCGGGGCAGACCAGAGCCCCTCCCAGGCCCCCTCAGGTCTGCCCTCTGAGTTTGAAGGTTATGGTTTCACTGCTTCTGTGACTCTCTCATTACCTGCATATGAGCCTAGAGCTCAAGTTTTTAATTCTTTTTAAAAGGTGGTTCAGGAGGATGGCTGAAGTAGGAATGAGACACACATCAATCTTTCCATAGCCCCCTTCTGCTGAAGCCGGGGCTTCCGCGGGTCTCCACCCTGTCTCCTAGGAATATTTAAAGGCAGCTTTTACGAGACTATATTTTCTTTGTTGCTTTTCATGTGTGTGGGTTTTCTGTTTTTGTTTTCTGTTTCTTTGTTTTAATTTATATATATATATAGTCTTAAAAAAGCAATAGTCCTTTGGTCCCTAAACTCTAAGGAATGATATGATTTTGAAAGAAGTAAATACGGGCTTCTCGGGCAGAGAAGCCCATGGCACCCCCAAGTCCCTCCGCTGGTTCCCCTGGACAGTCGGTCCTCAGCCAGCCCCAGCTGCCTTGCCAGCCTGACACTGTGCCACAGGCGAAGTCCAACCCACTTGACAAAGATGTCCCTAACGCGGCCCGAGCCCCAGGCGCTGGCCGCAGGTCCGATCCACCTCCCTGCGGCTGCTCCCGCGGGAAGGGCGGCTCAAGCATTGCTGTGCTTTTCCTTTCCTTTCTCTTCACTCTTCAGTTTCTGTTGTTGGGTGTTGATTGATAAGGAGAGAGGGGAAAGAAAAACAAAGGCAAAATCACTCTGGAGAGCAGGACAGGAGCAGCTTGCCCCACAGGACACCTCGGGGGAGTGGCTGGGCCTCTCTTCCCGAGAAGCAGGGCGGAAGCAGGGCCAAAGCGACAGCCTGATCTACTGAAGCCAGGCCCTGGGTCCTGGGCAGATGACCCCAGCCCCACACCTCCTCCACAGGGCACTCTGAGGGAAGCTCAGGGGAGGCGGCGCCCCGTGGATCTTCTGAGACAGCGAATCTCTGTAAGTTGCAGGCAGCTGGCCCTGCCAGAAACCCGAGAGCTTGTCATTTCCTTCCCCGTCACCCACCAGGCCCTGCAGACCCTGCTTGTTGGCCACATTTACTCCTCTCCTCAGCTCCCTATTCACTGCCCATTATCCCAGCCCTCGCATCTCATCCCTTCTTTGCTTAAACTCAATTGTTCTCTCCCATTTTCAGGATGAGGTTCAAACTCATGGCCTTTAAGACCCTTCACACACCGGCCCAAACCTACTCTGCAGTCTCATTCTCCAGCCCCTGCCCTGCCCACACAGAAGTCCTCTCCTCTGGTAGCCCCTGTGGCTATCTCTGGAGTGAAACTACCTGGTTGGATCTTGCTGCAATCGTCTCTCCCAGACCGTGGGGGCAGGAATGTTATCTAGTTTGTCTCAGTCCTGGAATGAAGGAAAAACCCAAAGTCTTCAAATGAGGATTCCTCCTAACTCCTGGCTCTACTCTCCCAGACTTTTACAGGGGGGAGCACCTCAACATCCCAAAAGGAACATCAAAGCTGATAGGGCCTCCATCACTCAGGCACCATCTGCCCAAGATCCCCCAAGGACCCACCTTTCTGCGGCTGGTCAGTGGGAGCAGATCAGTAAGGCCGATTGGCATCCTTGGGCCTCTTTAGCTGGACCTTGAGCCTCTTCATGCCAATTTGAAAGCCATTCATGGCCTGAATGGCTGTCTGGGCACTGGTTGGATTGTCAAAGCTAACAAACCCTGGAGGGTGCGGGCAGAGAGGTTAGCTGGGAACTCTGCTTGGCAGGGCCTCCTCTCTCTCTGATTAGCCCCCTCTTCTCCCTGCTCCGTCAGGCCAGTTCCATCAAACATATACCCCTCCACCCTCCATCGTTTGCATGTGCATGTGCACATACGGACACCCACTTACAAGGGCAATTGGCCTGAGTTTCCTAAAGGTGTGATTCTTGGAAGGACAGGAGGCAATTCTGAGTGGATGTGTTGTGGGGTTGTCCCTTTTCCTCCCGGGCACAGGTTGACACTCTCCCTCCACAGCTCCCAGTCTGGTTCTCTGAACTGCAGTTGGAGTTGAGGGGTTCTTTGGTCCCAGGTCTAGGCTCCTCCTGCCCTGGCTAGACTCTAAATAGACTCTAAAGCCTGACCTGATCAAGCATCTTCCAGACACCTGACTTTCCCAAGTGAACCTGAAATAGACTTGTTCCTGGTCTGGGCTTAACACTGTCACTGGTCTGTGACCTTGCTTTGTGCCATATACACTCAGTCTTTGGAAATCATTTATTTATGGAGGACAATCTGAGGGTCTGTAAGGAATCTTGAAGTTAGGAATGGGTGTGGCCCAGGGATGGGGCTCAGCTCACCAAAACACTTGCTCTGGTTGGTGGCTCGGTCCACAAAGACTTTGGCAGAGACAACAGCTCCAAAGGGCAGGAATGTCTGTACGAGTTCTGCATCACCGAACTCCTGAGGCAGGTGATAGATGAAGAGGTTACAGCCTTCAGGACCTGCAGGAACAGGGGCAGGCTGGTTCAGGGGAGGGCCCCTGGGTCCGGCCCCACCAGGCCCTAATCTCCAGCCCCCTGTCCCTCACCTTCTCTTTGCTGCTGGGGCAGGGCTGAAGGCTGCTGGGGAAAAGCTGTGCTCACTGGGGCATAGGCCGATGGATAGGCTGCTGAAGACAGAGGTGGGGGTGGGCAGTGACCCCCCAGGAGCCATCTCCCAAGAAGGGCCCCAGCTGCCTGGCTACCTCTGACCAATTCAGGCCATAGCTTGGCAACCCTCACCCCTAGAGAGGTCGCTCTGGGCCCAGGGGTGGGGGCATGGGAGGGTTGACTCCTCAGAACAGAGCCTAAACCCCCCACAAGTCTCCCTACTTCTTTCTGGGGCCCTTCAAACCCCCCCAGGCCACGAAGCGCCAAGTGAAACCTGCGAAGTGGTGCATCCCAGCGTAGGCCTGCTGCAGGGGGTCAGCCACGCCTGGGCTCTGGGCTGGGGAGAGAGGGGCGCGAGGCCCACGGTGAAGGCTGGCGGGTGGGGTCCGGCAGGGAGTGTGCGAGGTGGAGGGAGGCTATGAGAGGTAGCAGGGAAGGAGGAGGAGGCCCTTCCAGAGAGGCTGGTACCCCTCCACCCCCGGCTCCCCACTCCATTTTGGGGAGATTTGGGCGGAGCGGGGGGGCACACCTGGGTAAGGGGAGAGCCCGTTATTGTAGAGAGTGTCGGAGCCCGGCTGTCCGTTGGTCTGGGGGGTCAGAGAGCCGAATCCATTGACCCCGATGGGCGCTGGAAGTCCGGGAAGCGCGCCGGGGCCGCTGCCCGGCGCGGAGTTGGCTGCTGGTAGTGGCGGAGGGACAATAGTCGGGCCACGGCTCCGCCGGCCCCACCCCGCGCCGCGCCCGGGCCCCCAGCGGGCAATACCTGCCGCCGGCAACAGCGGCGCCGCCACCAGGCTGAAGGCGGCCACGTGCTGCATCTGCGCCGCCACCGCGGCCACCGGGCCTAGGCCTGGGCCCTGGGCCGCCGCCAGCAGGGCCGCCTGGTGCTGCAGGATCTTAGGGAGTGAGAAGGTCGGGTGTGGGGAGCCCAGCGGCGGGAAGCTCTCCCGGCCCCCGGCCTGGCCTGGCTCACCCGCCGCCGGGGCCGGGCACCTACCGCCGTGGTGTAGGCCCCGCAGGCCCCTAGCGGCAGCGGCGCCGGGTGGAACGCGCCCAGCTGGCCGGCCATTTGCTGCATGCGACGCAGCGCGCGCTCCCGGTCCGTGTCCGCCAGCTTGACCACGAGGCTGGAGGAGGCGCCCTGGGTAGGGCAGGGAAGGTCGCGGTGACGGGTCCAGACCGCAGCGCTGGCCCTGGGCCGAGCGCCGTGCCCATCAGGCCCGTTGCTGGGGCACTGGTCACGTGGGGAGGAGCCCGTCCCCACCCCCCCGGCCTCACCGCCATGGTCCGGCTACCGTGCAGACTCTGGATGGCTGCCTGGGCTTCCCCCTGACTCCCGAACTTCACAAAGGCACAGCCTGGAGCAGGTAGAGGGACAGCGGCGGCTCAGGCCACAGGGACCGAAGGATCGTGTGACCCAGTGAGGCAGGGTCACCAGGAAATCCCGGGGTCCTCCCAAGTCACCTTTACTGGTGCCGTCAGGGCTCCGCAAGACCGTGCACTCTTCTATATGGCCGAAGGGCTGGAACAGGCGCCTGACATCCTCCTCGCCCTGCTGCTTCCCCAGCATCCCCACAAACAGCTTTCGGTCCTCTGGGGAAACATCGAGGCGTGACCTGGGGAGCCTGAATCCTCCTGGACTCCCTAGTGTGGCCGGAGGAGCTTAGGAAGGCAGCTCACCACCGTCTAGCTCTGAGGGTCGGAGGAGGTTTAGGGAGTGGGAAGGCCCTGGGACTTCAAGGCTGGGTTTCTTTGCTCAGGCAGATGATCTACTGACAGATCTGGAGAAATACTCAACCCAGATTTCCACCAGGAAAACCTGGGTCCTGGAGAACCCAGAAAGACTCACTGCTGCTCTTGCGGAAAGTGATTCAGTCAGTATTTTTGGTTGGGCAGAGCCCTATATGTATCTTTTATCATGTTTGACCTTTCTGTTCTTAGAGTTTTAGAAAGACTCCTTTGGGCTGGTTTAGCCCTGTTTAGGGAGGGGCTCCTCAGAGAAGGCCTTTGTAATCAGACTGGCTCTGGAGAAGAGAAGGACCTTGTTGGTAAGCCTGCTATCAGGGGCTACAAACACTGCCCCTTCCTGCTCCAGTCAAGGAAGGTTCTGGGCAAAAAAAACCAGCACAGAAAACAGTTGTCTCGTGGTCCTGCCTCATCCCCAGACACAGCACTGGAATGATGAATCCCCACCCTCAGGACCAAACGCCACCTGCATGCCCCTCCCAAAGGCCTAACAGGGCAGGAAGTTGGGGTTCCTAAGTCTCCAACTACAGTGTTTTCCCCACGGCACTTGCTGAACCACTGACCCCTTTCCTTAATCCCCACTTCCACCACCTCATTCTCTCACTGAGGTTCCAGGGTCCCATGAGCCCTGCCGCCTCCTTTCTGACTTCCTGTTTTCTTGCTCTGATCTCTCCCCAGGTGAGTCTCTGAATTCGGGATGGGGCTTCATCCAGACCATACAAGTTGGGAGACAAAGGGTGGGTGGGAATCTGGCTTCAGGCTTCACTTTGTGAGGTCGTAGAGCCCGAGAAAACCCATCCCAAACTCCTTAACAAGCTGGGCTAGGCCAGAGGGACCTTGGATCCTGAGAGCGAGGGAAGCAAGGCCGGTGAGGGTCGTAGACTGAAGCCTGGAGGGCAGTGAGAGGGTATATGAGATTGCCTGGAGTTAGCAGTGGAGGGAAACCCCAACAAGGCTATGCACGTAGCCACATTGTACCTGGATATTGTGGGGTTCAGCCAGGGCTGCCCTGGGTACCCTGAGGTGCCTGTCTGTCAATACTGTGTGTGTGTGTGTGTGTGCAGGGGCTGTGGTTTATGTGGGACCGACAGAGTGTGATTCAGCAGCATCCTGCCCTTTCTCTAAAGGATTACTGCCTGGTGATCCTGAGGGGGATGGGTGCACAACACACTTGTGGTGGGAATTCTAGAGGAGGTGCTGACCTCTGGAGGGTACATTCTTGTGGTGTGCTTCACTTCAGGGGGTGTTAGCCACACAATACTGCCTTGGAACAGATCACTGGCTTTCCAACCTATTTTTAAAAAGCTATGGAATCCATTGTTTTAATAAAAATATTAGGATAAAACTCAAAATGTAAGAGAAAAGCAGAACTATTCTGACTGAAGCCAGAAAAGTATGGGGGTTGGGGCTGGGTGTGGAGGGCCCAGCAGCGGGAAGCTGTCCCGGCTCCTGACCCGGGCCTAGTCCATCTTGCTTGATCTTCTCTGGTAGCCACTAAAGGGGACTCCAGGGAAAGTCCTTTGAGAACTGCTGACCTAAAAGATAAAGAATAGCATTCTACATGGTGTATGAAGAGGGATCTGAGATCATCCTGTTCAGGAATCTGAGAAGACAGCGAAGGTCTTTCATAAATCTCTTGACCAGTCTGATGGTGCCTTTGCCTTGACATTGGAAGACAGGCCCCATTCGGTCAGGGAATCACATCTCAGTAGACTGTGTCGTTGTTCTGAGAATGCTAATGTGTACTATGCAGAGAGGTCCAGGAGGCGCTGAAGAAGATCATAGGGTCTTCAGAGTCCCAAGGCTGAAAGGGGGCTTCAGGATGCCCCGATTTATAGTGCAGCCATGTCACTGTGTGGAGTCTGCAAGATGGTGGTGACACCTAGGTAAGGTGTCATGCCACATGGGCCAGCACCCACATAGCCCCGGTAGGAAGAGAGAGATCAAGGCCAAGATGAAGCCCCCAGGACAGGAAAGAAGGTTGTGTGGATGGTGTGGTCTGATCCTTCATCTGCTCTTCGTCATGTTCTCTATTCTGCCGATAGTGCTCAGTCCAAGGTCATGACACAGACCATGAAACTCTCTGATTTTTCTTGTCTAGTGAGAGTCTCTCAAGTTAAGATTTTTCAAGCGTGTGACAGGGCAGTGACCTTATGGTTTTGGACTCTGAGCTGTATAGAATTTTAAATTAAAATGAGGTTGGGTTATAATATGGGCTCTGCCATTTCACAGATATCACCTTGAATCTTGTTATCCTAAGATTTACAGGAACCTTGATGGTATTTGAATGAGGATGATCTGGGTCACAGTGACCATGAGCCTCAGGTGATACTGGAATGGTGGGATACATTTCTTAAGAGACCTGGTCAAAGAGAAGTACAGGCTAGACCCCTGAGAATAGTCCCCATATCCACAGCCCTGAAGATTCTGAAGGCTGATTAATGTCCCCAGAGAGAGCTATTACTGGGATTTAGCCCAGAAAATTCAATTTCCTCTAGGTCAAACTCTACCAGTTTGCTAAGAAGAGGATTCTGTAAGAGGTAGGATAGAAATGTCTAAATAAAAGCATCCCATGGGTGGTGGATGGGTCCCTAGAAAGACAGGAATATCAAATAGGAAGTCTCAACTTTCTTGGAATAGAAGGAGTTGGAAGTTAGCATCAGTGTGGAGTTGAGACATAGTTGAAAGGACACACAATTGAATGATATAATTACATTTCCTTTTGGCAAACAATGTGTACTCCTTGCTTTTTCACAGAATGCTGCTTTGAACCCAAACAAAGGTGTTGGGGCCCCTAAGGCCCATCCCCATGAAGCTGTCTTGTACAGTCGGTCATACAGCTCAAGGATTCCAATAAAGCAAATGATGGGGTTGACAGCCCACACTCAGCCAGTCTGCTCCATCCTCCTCAGGAAAGGTACCAAGATGCTGTGCAAGAAAAGAGGCTGTGCCTCAAGTTGGCCCATAGGAATTCCTAAGAGGCTCAAGTTTTTGGCTTCTAGGCGTCTCACACCCACTCACCTCCATGTCGATGGGGTATCGTGACTGTAGAGGCAGTGTATGGGCAAGGTTTCAGCATCAGGGTGTCTGAATATATCCTTAAAATACTGGGCCACCTTTCAGTTCAAATACCAACCTAGAAGATCCTGCTGGTGGCAGCATTTGGAGCAAAACATCTCTCCCTGATGTTTTAGTGATGACAGCAGCATAAGAGGCCAAGGAAGACTGGGAAAGTGATTGAAGGAAATATCCAGGGCAAACAGTGTCCCGGCCAGATCTGATGGGCATCAAGAAGAACTTTAATTCCACATACGCAAAAAAATACCTGTTAGAACTAATAAACAAACTTAGTAAAGTTGCAGAGTACAAAATCAACAAACAAAAGTCAGTTGTGTTTTTATACACTAGCAATGAGCAATCTGAAAAGGAAATTAAGAAAACAATTCCACTTACAATAGCATCAAAAAAATGAAATACTTAGGAATAAACTTAAGGAAACAAAAGACTTGTACCCTGAAAACTACAAAACATTCAACTAATTGAAAGAAATTAAGGAAGACACAAATAAACGGAAAACATCCTGTGTTCATGGACTGAAAGACTTAATATCATTAGGTAACACTACTACCCAAAGAGATCTACAGATTTAACGCAATCCTTATCAAAATCCCAATGGCATATTTTTGCAGAAATAGAAAAATCCATCTTGAAATTCATATGCAATCTCAAAACAATCTGAGTAGCCAAAACAATCTTGAAAAGAAGAAAGTTGGAGGTCTCACACTTCCTGATTCCAAAATTTATTACAGAGCTACAGTAATCAAACAATGTGGTATCTGCAGAAAGACAGACATATAGACCAAAGGAATGAATAGAATAGAGAGATCAGAAATAAGCCCTCACATATATGATCAGATGATTTTTGACAAGAGTGCTGGTCTTTTCAACAAATGGTGCTGAGAAAACTGGATACCTACATGCAAAAGAATGAAGTTGAACCCTTACCTTTTACCATATGCAAGAATTAACTGAAAACATATCGAAGACCTAAACACAAATGCTAAAACTAAACTCTTAGGAGAACACACAGGAGAAAAGCTTCATGACCATGCATTTGGCAGTGATTTCTTGGATATTACACAAAAAGCACAGGCAATAAATGTAAAAATAGATAAATTGGACTAGATAAAAATTAAAAACTTCTGTGCATCAATGGATACAATCAGAGTGAAAAAGCAGCCTACAGAATGGGAGAAAATATTTACGAGTCATAGATACGGCAAGTGGTTCATATCCAAAATAAAAAGAGCTCCTACAACTCAACAACAAAACAAATAATCTCATTTAAAAATGAGCAAAGAAGAATTAATACTGTCAAAATGGTCATCCTGCCTAAAGCAATCTACAGATTCAATGAAATCCCTATCAGAATACCAACAGGATTCTTCAACAAACTGGGACAAATAGTTCTAAAATGCATATGGAACCACAAAAGACCCCAAATAGCCAAAGCAATCCTGAGAAGGAAGAATAAAGCTGGGGAGATTACACTTACCAACTTCAAGCTCTACTACAAAGCCACAGTAATCAAGACAATTTGGTACTGGCCCAAGAACAGACCCATAGACCAATGGCAAAGAATAGAGAGTCTAGATATTAACCCAGGCATATATGGTCAATTAATATACGATAAAGGAGCCATGGATATACAATGGGGAAATGACAGCCTCTTCAACAGCTGGTGTTGGCAAAACTGGACAGCTACATGTAAGAGAATGAAACTGGATCACTGTCTAACTCCATACACAACAGTAAACTTGAAATGGATCAAAGACCCGAATGTAAGT